GGGGGGGGGGGGTGTCAAAATTTGTCACACTATAAATCTCACGGTTTCAAGAGACGACTGTACCTGGTGGGTAGGTTTTTTCCCTCAAATTGAGGTTTTCCCTTGTCTTTTGGCGAATGCGGTACAGGGGGTTGGGGTGGGGTGGGAAGGGAACAACTGGTAAAAACCCGAAAGGGTATACGAGTGAAAAAAATATATATATATCACGTAGCCCACGATGAATTTTAGCAGATAAAAATTGAAAATTACAGGGCAAGCACATTAAATACGCTAATACAGAAAATACTGTCATCGAAATGTCAAATGAATTTTAAAAAATGAAACATATTTGAAAGTTACCCTCTGGGGGATGATTTCGCCAGGATGTAATTTTTTTGAACAAAAAAAAGTTTTTCCACAATTTTGTCATCCTAGAAACAAAGCAAATTGCTAATTTATTAGTGAAATAGTATTTTTCGTCACTGTGGCGAAGAAAATTTTTCAAACTCGCCTTCGGTTGGTCCTGCAAACGCATATTCGCCAGAGAAATTTTTTTCGACCCAGTGACGAAGCATTTTTTTTGTTACGACGTTTGTGAGCGGTTGTTTAGCACGCGCAGCGTGCAGGAGGCGAGGCTTCACGAACTGAGTAACAAAGAGTGAACTTTTCAGGTAAGCATCATAAAAAACAATACTAAAACTGCACCTGTGCAATGAACCTCTTGTTTATTTTTGCAGCAAAGCGATTTCAATTTTCTTCAAAGTATTTTTTTTTCTTTCGTCATTTGTTTTTTTTATAATTACCCCTCCCCCCCCCCCCCGTTGTCGGGCCTTCGCAACAAAAAATAGTATGTGTCAATATACTATATTGACAGTGATGTTATTTTCAGCGTGTGACCGGACTGTGGTTTTTTCGCACATACAGCAGCAGTGTCGAAAATTGAATTTCAGAATGTTTATTGTAATTCAGCATGGTTTGGATTTTTCGATAACTATCGGGCAAGTGAATGAAACTAGTCATATACCAGTTTATAAGGTAGTTGTTGTTATAGAACGTAAACTTCAGTGGACTGAGAATTTTTTAAAATAACGCGAAGCGCACGTCCCATGTAGTTGAAAAACAAATCAAATTCTAAAATTTCCATCCGGATAACGGATTGCTCATATAGTCCATACGCTGTGACAGGTCCCGTATACATTTTTAGGTCCATTGAATTTTATCATTGGGCTTTATGTTTCTGGGAGCCCTGAANTTTTCGCACATATAGCAGCAGTGTCGAAAATTGAATTTCAGAATGTTTATTGTAATTCAGCATGGTTTGGATTTTTCTATAACTATCGGGCAAGAGAATGAAACTAGTCATATACCAGTTTATAAAGTAGTTGTTGTTATAGAACGTAAACTTCAGGGGACTGAGAATTTTTTAAAATAACGCGAAGCGCGCGTCCCATGTAGTTGAAAAACAAATCAAATTCTAAAATTTCCATCCGGATAACGAGAAAACCGTTGAGATAATTTTGCTCATACAGTCCATACGCTGTGACAGGTCCCGTATACATTTTTAGGTCCATTGAATTTTATCATTGGGCTTTATGTTTCTGGGAGCCCTGAACACGAATATGTCAACTATTTTTACGAGGTGTGGTTAGTTTTGTTTTTTTTATAATAATTTAATTGTTTATATCGCGACTGCACAGAAACTGTCCGAGTTAGGCAAAAAAGTTTCAAACAAAAACGGTTCCTCGTCTAGGAATACAGATATTTTGTCCTATTATTTTTATTTCTATCTCTCATAGTTATCGA